GGCAAAGAGGAAAAACGAGAGTAAAAAAGAAGAGAAGAAAAAAAAGATTAAAAGGAATGATGATGATGAGGGAAGAATGCAGACATCTACATGAAGTGCTTGGAGAGGCAAAAAAGGAGGAGAAATAGGAGGTAGAAAAGGATGAGAAAAATGTTATCTTGAAGATAACGAGTAAAAAGCATCTTCATCACTTGAAAGTTTTACTTTTTCTCTCTTTCTCTTTCTTGGACCAGGAGATGATGATGGCCTTTCAATTGTTATTAGTGGTATCAATTGTGAGAGTGGGCACGATGAGCATCATGAGCTTGTAATTTTTGACTTGTTCTTGTTGCTAAAACACTTGACATTCGGTCTAATTTTACATCTTTGAACATGAATATAATAACGATAACGGTAATAATTTGAGTTTTTATATCTTGTAAGGAGACTGCAGGGAGTTGACTGGGATTGGGTAATGTTGCCTTTGGTAGTGAAAAATGTTGTGTTTGATTTTTGTTGCATTTTTTGTTACTGCTTTACAAGTTGATGGTAAACTTGTGAACATAATTTTGAGTCAAATACTTTTTCAATTGTGTCAAGGTGAAGGAGAGAAGGCCACTTTATAAATGTATTTGTCTGTCAGTTGATTGAACCAAAGTTTCATTTGCAATTCAAATTTAATCTCAATCTTAATCTTAACCAATTTAAACACGTGCTGGCTATTTTAAGCTGCTAATTTGTGTTTACCAATTTCTCACTGCTTCTGTTTAATGGATAATTTGGTTGCCTTATAAGCTCATATCTATCTTGTAAAAACCATTTTACACTCATCAAGTTGAGATGAATTCTGATGAGATGTCATCATGTTGATTGGTTATGAAATTCAAAGTTATCACTTGCAGATCTAGTTGTAATAGTTTTCCTCGGTATTATTCATGGTAACAGGTTGCAGATTTTTAAGTAGGAAATTAAACATTCTTATAAAACAAGATTTCAATATGTTCATGAGTCGAAACATCCTGATCTTAATGCGTTTCAATTGTAATGTTTTTTTACAAAGCTTTTGTTTCTACCTTTTCACCGCAAAATTAGGCTGGAAGCCTCTGATGGTCACAACCTACAAGGGAGACTTTGCAGGTTGAAGTATCACATAACAATTGGTTTGCATTCAATGGCTATCAAGTTGAACCGATGGGTTCACTGAAGCTATTTGCTTCACCAATACTGAGAAGACTCCTGCCTAATACCGCATCAACCGCGTATTGTAAGCCAATTAGTCGATGTGATACAGATAAGCTCATGACTCGAGAACCACTTGGAAAATGCACATATTCCGATTCTCTATTTAGTCCAAGAGTTTTGAAAAACAGATAAAGTTGCTGATCGAAGTGCTCTTCCACATCACCAGTGAATAAAAATTTCCAAGAAAGTTAAAAATTCGACAAATAATTGTTCTGTGTTAGTTATTCTGCGAATGCAAGATTTCTTCTGTAGCTCGATGTTATACATTGCAATATTCTGGTTCTAGATACTGAGCCTTGAAAAGCAGCACACTTTATTTACATAATTGACTGGACAAAAACTCACCTTTGAAACTTGCCTCAAGCCAAGCGAGCGCTCAATGCTTAACATTGAAACTCTCTGCAAGACGACCATAACATTACAAAACATTGCAATGGTTACCATTAAATTCAATTAAAATGATAACAAGGTGAACCTGAAATGGCAATTGTTGAGCCTAACCATTGGAACCAACATTGTTTAGCTTATTGTCAATTTTATAACCATTTATGGTGCAATAATAATTTTTTTAATAATAGCAATAACAAATAATAATAACGTCAACAGCACACAAAAAAGGAGTTACAAGATAACAATGTTATTATCTGCAACATTTACTTTTTTTGTAGCTTCTTTCTTCTAGATGATTGTGAACATTGTTATTCACTCAATGTGAATCTCTTGTTGAACGTTTTCCTTTTCAGGCTCTCGATTCTTTTCTTTATTTCATCCTTACCTTTAGCTGCAACAGTATTCATCATTTTATTTGCAACGGATTAACAGGGAATGTCAGGTTTGTAACCTTTAATTGGTAACTATTATAACTACCAAGTTCTTGAATCAACTGATCAGCTTAAAGGGAGTAAAAAAGAGAACAAGGAATGAACCGAACAAGAAGAAGAAGAAGAAGAAAAAAGAAGAAAAGTTATTTTGATGATAAAATAGATTGCAGAAGATTTCACGTCTCATTGCATATTGTAATTGGATTTATAATCTCGCTTGTTCTTCAATATTATTATTATAACATTCAATTCAACGTTTTTTTATCCATCGTTACTTCTCATCATTTTAATCATCGTTTGAGCTTCTCACTGCTTCCCATTCAATTGTAAAACAAAAAAGTGAAATTTTCCAAAAAATCAATTTCGATCTTTTTTTCCTTCAAAATTTTGACCCTTTACTTTTCTTCCAAGCTCACATTTAATTGAATTTGGAAATTTGATTAAATTGATTTATGAGAATATTTTGATTGTTTTATTTGGCTTGGAGCAGTTTAAATGTTTTAACCATGAAACAATATTGGATAACATGTTAATAGATGCCTTGAGAGAATGAAAAGTGTGGAAAAATTATTCTTATTCAATCTCGTCCCTTTTCCCTCCATGACAATGATTTCAATCTTGAAAATTGAATGTAAAGCGTGACTTTTCAGGTTGAGCTATAAATAGAAAAGATTGAAAAGTTGAATTTTCTCGGTGATAAATGGAGACGAAAATGTTGCCTCGGGTTGAATCTTGAAACATGAAGTATGAATGTTGAAAGTCATCTTGAACATGATCATGTTGCCTGTAAGAGAGAAAATTTGGAAGCAACAAATTTTCCAGATTCTCACCTGAAGGAACAATGTGAAGTAATTGTCAGTGAACCAACAAGAATGTCGAGTAAATAATAGAAATTACAAAATTGCATAAAAATAATTTTCTTTTAATAATAATTCAACTTTTTTTTCATTGAAATCAATTTGAAGCTCTTTTTTTTGTTGGTGAAAAGATGTCAATCAATTATTGGAATAATTTGTTTTTTTCGCCGTTTCAAGTCAATTTCATTTTCTCTTTCAGCTCATCATGTTGGCGAAATGAAGATTTTTCAAGTTGATTTGTACTCTTTGACAATGGAAGACAATGAGAGAGAAATGTTTGTATTTCGTCTTTTCTCTTTTACTGAGGTATCAACTGGAACAAATCAATTTCACGGTTACCAGGGCATCTAAGAATTGGTGAAAAGTTGGTGAAGAAATGATGATAATGATGATGAGAAAGAGTTTAACAAAACGTATTGGAATCACTTGAAGACGAACCTCTTTTTTTACTCTTTTTTTTCATTCTCTTACCTTCATGATCGTCTAATTTCAATCTTCTTGGTACGCTTGACTTCAGTCAAAACATGCAATTACTTATGGCCCATTGGTGAGGCAAAGAGAAATGTCATTGGAACAGAATAAAGGGAAAAGAAAATAAATATCATTCCCTCAACAATTTTCAACCCTTTTTCTTATTCACACTTTTATCGTCGACTATTCCTTTTGTTTTCCCGTTAATCGTTTTTTGCCACCTTACATTTGAAATTGAAATTTCATTCTCTTTCGTGTTTGGAGAAACTTTTTCAGCCTTTTGATGGTGAATCAACAGATCAAAGTAAATTCAATTTAAATATCATTTGGTTCAATTGTGAGGTTCTCTCATCAGGCAATTTGATTTCTGTCTTTGTTCAATTCTGTATTTCAACTGTCAAAGTTTATAGATTTAAGCAAATTTAATCGATCAAGCTTTGATTGAATTTAAAATGGCATTTTTGTAACAATGATAAATGTATGACTTTCAGTCTCAGTTCAAGTGTTATTTTCAATTTTTTGGTCATTTTATTGCAGTAATTTTATGACCTATTTCGGGGAAAATGATCTTATAATGATTAAAATGCAATTAAAAATTGAAGTCGGGATAATAGCAACCAACGAATGACATTTTATTCAAAAGTCCCAAAATTTGGGAATCGAGATGAAATTGAATACTTGAACGCCATCTGCTGACGAAGAATCGAGTCTGATATTTTATGAAAATTTGATTCATCAAAATTTATTCTAATCCAACAGGGAATGATTAAACTGTTGAACTTTTCTTCTTTAATTTTTCTTTTTTTCTGTCATGAAATTCAAAGTTTTCAGATCAATATCTCCGCTTAGATTGGCAACTACTAGTAGTTGTGATCGAATGTTTGGAGCAACAAGGACATTCGCTGTACCTAATTTAGCCTTTTGTCAACCCTGAAACAATTATTCATCATCCGTATTCATCATTCGTTGAATTAACTTATCTGAGAAGCAATTAATAAATCAATAGGACTATTAGGTCGACAGGTCGAATCAACTATAATTAGAAACTTTTCTGGGTAGTTGACATGGGTGAGGTCGAAATTCACTCAATAATCTATTATAATATCATTCCTATCTTTTTTGGGTTCAGAGTAGAGTAGACTGCAATTAAAAACAGTTGCAAAATACAAATGTATCAAAAAAAGTTTACTTTCAAGTCAAATTCAAAAAACGATGAATTGAACTGCATGAATTCACGACAATGCTAATGATGCTACTCATGATAATTTTCATTAGCGATATTTATTGAAATGCTTTGGAACAAATGTGATTGATTGGAATGAAAAATTTGAAGAAATTTCGAACAAGGCGCCGCAAGGAAAATGAAAACATTTTTCGGTTAACCGAAAGGTGGTGATATCGACTGATATCTAGGATTTGCAATCTGGGATTTGCAATTTAAGAATGTAAACATTTACTTGTTTGAGCGCATGAAAATTTTGGTTACTTTTGGTTCGAGTTTAGTTGCTTCCTGTTACAATAGATGGTAGCCTCTGTCACGGAGTCGATTGAATATTTGAATGCAATCTTATATTAAATTGAAGGAGTAAAAGCATAATAACCAATTTTTCACTCCATGGATTGAGCAGCCTCGAGAGACTTTCTTGCTCATCCAAATGTTCACTTTTCAATAAACACTTGAAAGTCAAAAGGAAACTTTTGCTCGACTTGAAGCTCAGCTAGCCGAGCATAAACCAAAATCAGAATAAGCCGAACGTTTCATTTTTTATACAAATCAATCGTTACACATCGAACCGCGAAACACAAAATGTTAATTCAAAGTTTACGTAATTTTTTCTATTCAATATAACATGTTGACGTTTGCATGTTTGTCAGCTAATAAATAACTTTAACCTTTAAACTTGTTTCAATATTCAACTATCATCTGCAACATCATCGTCATCGTCATCATCAAAAATGCCCACAGGATGTACAGAAGAAAAGTAAGTAAAGTTAAGAAAGACGAATGTCGAATGATCTGAACGATATATTTAAATTGATTGTTCAGGTTAAAGGGATCTTGGGTCGTTGATCCGGCCAAATCGTTTTATTACCGTTGGCTTGGAATCATAACAGTTGCCGTCCTTTATAATGTCCTAATGATTATTGGACGAACAGTTTTCTGGAAACTCAACAATTCTCATCCATGGATATGGTTTGCAATTGATTACACTTGTGATTTTGTTTATATTATCGACATGTTCGTCAACTCAAGAACAGGTAAGCTCAATAACAAACAATTGAACTAAAGAAACCAAATTTCGAAAATTCTTTCCATTAAAAGTTGAAAATTATTAGCAGAAACATTTCTTAAACTTAAGACTAAAATCAACATTAAAGATCAACGTTCAAGCTTGAAATTTGATCCACTGTGTCATCATTTTACCTACATTGAAAGTTGATCAAGATATGTCAAGAAATTTATAAAAGAAGCTAGAAAAGGCAGAGAAAACGAACTTACTTTACTGCAATTTTCATTATTAAAGATCCTCAAAAGAAACAGAATTTAAGACTTCGAGTTTTTCAATGGAAACTTAACCGCAACAATTGAATTTGTAAGGAAAAACCTTCGATAACTTAACATCTTTTACCCAATATTTGTAACTAATTTCAACTATTGGAAGCTAAATAAGTGAATCCCAAAAAGACTAAAAACTAGCGTGAATACAGAAGTGTATGAACGACGACTTGATCTGGTTATGCTTTTGTCTCCGGATAACAGATCCATTGCGATCAAATGCATTCAATCGTCCAATCAATTTAGAAACTAATATTATACAATTCTGAATGAGGAGTTTTCCACTTCTGAGTTCACCTCAATCCTTACTTACAGACCAGGAAACACGAGAAGCGCAATCGATGCATTATCAACACAAAATGTTCCATTGACTGCTTGCAGAATCACAGGAATCGCAAAATGCATAAATTTATTCAAAATTATGACTTTAAATCTCGACAATAGTTCATCTCTCGATATAAGTTAGAAGAAACATTTCTTGAATTTTGTTAGAACAGAAAATTTAACCAAATCTTTCAGCATTCAGTCTTTCTCAAGTCGAGTGAAATAAAAATAAAGATTTTCCAGTTTCTCTAGCAAATCAACTGCAAAACTTTTCTTGTCAATCTTGACAAATAAAACTACCAACCTAATTTTGGACTTTACAAGTTGACTTGAACGGAAAAGTACACAACTCATGCTTAGTCGTCGTAACTAATTCAATAATTTCAAACTGAAAAGTTGAAAATTTGTTAACCATCAATTATCATGTAAAAATTTCCTTCTGTAAGATGCTCAAATATTGTTGGTAAATTGACAATCCTGGTTCACAATTAATCACTCACTTGAGATGAAACTGAAAACTCTATTAATCATGAAAAAATGGGCTTTAAATGGAGGGAAAAAAAGGCTGAAATTCATTTTGAAAGAAGAAAAGCAAAAAAAGACATTTTTTCATCATTAATATTTTCTCACTTTTAGCTAATGAATTGAATTATCTTTTATAATGAGACAAATTCAAGTTTATCATCCAGCATCGTTTTAATCTAACACATTATTATTTATCGTTAACTCATTTCACCATGAATGCCTGATTCAAGCTTCTCTCTGTAAACAAGATAAATTGAATTTCACATTATTCCTTTGTCTTTCAACCAACATGAACAGTAATTATAACTCTTTATGTTCAACATCTTTTACTCATAATTATCACTGTCCAGAGCAAATAATGTTATAAAACTAACAAAACATTTAACATTGGTAAACAACTCGTTATTAACCGATCGAACCGTCTGACTCGAAAATCGAATTCTTTTTTTTCCATTGAAATATATTCTAAAGTTCATTTGATATGGAATTTCAATTGTCCATAGTTGATGGCTTTTCCTCTCTTCTAACCATATTTACTGATTCAATTAGATTTTCATGGAAACCAAAAAATGCAATTCAATTGAAGAGAAAAATGTTTTCAATTTGATTAGTTCGAGTTATCGATTAAAAACAAAACTCGAAATGAAATCAATTGATGTAATTGATTCTCAAAGTGTCGTGAAAAGTTGCAATTCATTTTCGACTTCATTCATGGAGAAAATGTTCACCAGCAATTTGTCAATTCAATTCGGAATAATAACATGATAACAATTCTGGTCACAAAATTTTCCACTTTTTCATCTTTTTTCTCTCATTCTTAACCCTGCAACTTGGCAACTTGGAATTTTCATGAAAAGACATTTTCTAAACAATATTCCAAGTCGACTGTTTAAAGTGTCATATTGAAGTGAAGGTTTGCCTGAAGCAAAACATAAACACAATTCATTATCACTTGGGTTGACTTTATTAAAGTTGATAAAATTTCATTATTTGATTAATCGAAAAATGAGTTTTTTTTCATCTTCTCCAAAAGTTATTACATTCTGATGATGCAAAGAGGTGATCGTGGGCAGCTTCATTTGAACCTCGAAAACGCAATTTCCGAATGAAAATTCATGTTCGAAAAATGAAGAGAAAAGCAAGAGAAGAGAAAAAAAAGTTAATTAAAACTCGAAAGTGTTCACACTTTTTGTTCTCATAATTATCATGATAATGAGGTTAACTTAAAGGTTGCCCAAAATGATTCAATAGATTTCATTTCTTGATTCGTTTACAATGTTTAAACTTTTCGAGTTTTCTTCTTGTTTTTACTTTTTCCCTTTTCAAATGTTTCAACCTTTACAAGTGTAATTGAAATTGAAGTTTTTCAACTTTTCAAGATTCAATTTGCTCAACAGAATAAGGTTTTGCTATTGGAATGGAAAATTGAGCGAAGAAAAACAATTGCATCATGAATGGTCATCACTGGATGAGAAACATGTTTCTTGGTTAATCTCTGGTTCTGTTGACCAACTTATAACAAAACTCATCTTTATTATATTTGTGGTTACCTTGGAGTTAAAGTTATCTGTCCAATCTTTGCCTTTCATTCTCATTCCAACATTGAATCATCATTATCATCATTTTCATCTCTTTTTTTAGACTTTTCCTTCTTTCTTTTTTTCTCTCCCATGTTACTGATTCACGATTCTTTTTATCATTCCTTGTGTGGTTTCAGATATTACGAGGTTATATCATTAATGGTCAATGATGAAAATCCTGGTCAAAGTATAATAGCATTGATGATTGGAGTTGCCAAAAAACAAGAGGTTAAATTGAAGGGGAAAAAGGCTTAATGTCAACATGGAAACAAGTAATGAAACAAAATGAAACACAAAAAGTAATATCACAATTTATGATTATGTTCATCTTGTTTCATCGAATTCATTGATTTCAAGAGAGACACATTTAGCTTGTTTGGTTCGAGATGGAAATGGAAAAAATGAATTTTTCTTTTCTTTTTGCATTTTCTTTTTTCGTCTTCCTTTCATCATTAGTTTCCATATTAAAAACGATAACTTGTTGAGAGATGAAAAATGAAGTTGCAAGTTGAACCCAAAGTGAATCAAGGTTAATCAAGTTGGGTAAATGTATTTATGTAAATAAATTGGGTAATAAAGTGAAGATGATGGTTGAAAGTGAAACAAAAGGTAAAAGTGTTTCAGTGAAAATGGTTCAGACTAATTAATCAAATGTGAAAGTTGCAAGTTCATTATTCAACATTGTAATTGGATTTTTTACTCTCACAATAAATAGTAATTACTGTTACCAAATGGTTATCAATTTTAATCAAATGACAATTTCAATGTTCACCTTTTTTCTCAGCAAAAGTTACATTTTACTTTCATCTTGAACAATGTTGTGAGCAAGTTATGAGAAAGTTTTTTCAACAAAATTATTGTTCGTTTCATGAATCGCAATAATGAATTTGATGAAAATATCATTGTTTGTAGTGTGTTTAGTGATTGTCAAGGAACGACTAATGTTATTGATTTTTTTATCAATTTGACTTTTTTTTGTTCCAAAGTCAATCTTAAAGCATGACAGAGTTTACATGATGACTGTGAATCGGCTGTAGATCAGGAAGTTCTGTTGATCGAAATGATCATTTTTTCTGTTTCCTAACAAGTTGCTTGAATCCATCTGCAAGCTTCATTAAGGTTTCTCAATGAGCCTATTAATAATGAGGATAAAGTCAAAGTCACTATTGAATAAAGTAATTGAACATTTGAACTGAATTTCCGGAGAAAAGGCAAAACTCTGTTTTCATTGAATAAATGAATGAACAAAAAGAATGATTAAAGTGATGAACATTAACGATTTAAGATGATTCCACTTTTAAACACTTTTAGTTGAGCTTAATGGTTTGATTGGTTTTTACTTTTTGCAAGTTGACTTTTTTAGGTTAACATGAAGATGAAATATTGGATTAAAGAGAGAATCAAAATTGAATAAAGATTTCTGTTGTTTCATCATTTTCATTATCCACTTTTTTACCCTCTTCTTGGACCCATATTGCAACCTCAATCTGATCAACATTTGAAATGATTGATGAAGCAGCTTGGAAGGAAGACATTTCTAGTTTATCCAATAAACACCGATTGTAATCATTTCAAATCCATTTTCATCTTGCAACTGATTGTTGACCTGAAGAAAGAAAAGAAAGGAAAACATGATAATCTCATCAGAACATTATCTTCGAGTTTGCGACTTGTTCGCCCAAAGGTCGAACCTGATTAATGAAGCAATTTGTTGCAAAACAAAAGTCTCTTTTCGTTACCTGGACAAGTGTTGCTCTCATTATAACCTCATTACCATTTCTTGCCTCAGGTTCAACTCAAAACTGAAAGAAACTTGGAATCATCATTTAATTGTTAAACGATTGTTCGTCAACTGTTCATGTTTCATTGTCAAGTGCAACGAATTTCATGGAAAAGAGAAAAAGTTGAAGACAATTTGCAAACTCGTTAATGTAATAAATATTATTGGAGTTTCCTTGGAAAGTAAATTGTCCAAGAAATGATTAACTCGTCACAGCTGAAAGTTGACCATAAATGAGGTTAGGAATCTGGTTGAAGAAGGAAAAGGTTTTCAAGGATCATCATGAGTTATCAGAGAATATAAATTGTTCCCTAATTTTAGTCGACATTTCATGATATTCTTGTTTCCTCCATCAAATTTCATCTCTAAATTGCAATGATAATTTTCGATGGGAAATTGAATTATCTCGAGCTAATATCAACCTTTTACTGCCAATGAAAATTTATCTCAATATCCTTCAGTCCCAATCATTTTTTTTCCTTCTCCTTCCTTC